ACTACCTAGGTGAGGACGCAATACATCAATCGTTTGTTGGCTTTATTAATAGTAAAATAATTTTTTAATACGCTAAACAGATAAATTACAGATTTGATAAAATTAATATATTTATAAATGAGTGTTTGAATAAAAATATTATAAAATACAATATACAATATGGAAACCTTTTATGTATATTTACAATATACAATATGTATTTCTTTATATTTCTACTATATACAATTTAACCTCTAACGCATGACTTTATTTTTACTTCCCATTTGCTCAGAACGCGTGAACAGATGAAGAAACAAACAAGAAGCGATTAACGAGGTAACAAAGACGTAACTGCAATGGGAGGAAAAGTTTATTTTAAAAGTAGTAAACTATTTTTCAGTTATATTCATGTGCAGTAGTTATTAACTACAGCATATTATTTAACTAGTTTGGTCTGCCAGCATGCAATCTGAAAAATTTAAATTACTCTTTATGTAATCGAAGAAATTGTTATACTGCCGTCAATTATTAATATCACTATTATCTGTCATTGCAAAATTTCCTCTTGCATCGTTTTGCGGAAAATGTGGAATCCAGATCTCAACAAGAGTTTACAGAGATTCAGCCGAAGACCTTTCCATCAGTGCGATTTTTTGAACCTCAAAAATTGATGGGTGTCCGGGGAATTTTTGTGGATGTTTGTCAATTTCATTCCTGACTGTACCAGTGCTCCCCTTTTGTTTTGCTGCTTCACATTCTGCTTATCTCGATTTCTAAATCTTTTTATTTACCTTTTATCTGTCTGTTTTAAACGTTTGCATCATTTGGCACGGCAATATTTATTATTCTTTTTTGTCATGAAAAATTAAGTTAGGGTGATTGGCCATAATTTTTCAGTTTGTAATTATAGGTACATCCGATAAGATGGGGCTGGGACCCACGTTTAGCACCTAATTTGGGAGATGCATGTAATATTTTCCACATACTAAGTTAACAAAGTTAACATAACTAGCCACTTTATTGTGTCTGTTGGTTTAATCACCTGAAACCAATATTGTGCACCTTGTGATTTATATTTTTGTCCGCTTGATGGCATATTCTGCATTTATCATCTACTGCTTCCTTCAACATGTTTTTTTTGGTGACATCTGGTGTTGATTGCCTGATGCTGAGCGACTATGATGAGGCTTTCCGTCTCTCCTTCCTGATCAGAGCTTATCAACCATGCTATAAATTTTGTTTGTTATTACTATTATTATTATTCTCTCTAAGATATTCCTTAGAGGTTATTACAACAAACACACTGTGTATAAATACACGTGAATCAGCGCTCCACACACTTTGTATGTAATTGGCGGGGATCCCATTACATTCGAACCCAGACACTACATCAACAATGCCAGACACCTTAACCATTACACCATCGTGCCGTCAACGCTCTGAGTGGACTCGACCTTTAGAGGTTGATAGTGTGTGACTGCCATTGTCTGCATCACAATCTCTACCTACACAAACTGTACAGCCAACGAAGACAAAAGTAGTCATCATGACAAATATTTAAATAATTATCCTATGTGTGAATGTAATTAAATTTGCGTGCTTGCATGTGTGAATTTGGTTGCGTCTGTGTATGGTTTTTTTTTATAGTATAGGTGATGATGACCTCTTTTGTTATGGTAACGTGAGCTGAGAAAATGGCTTTTGACTGTTATTAATTTTATCATATCATGCTTTTTTGGTAAAAATGTTTAATCATTTTTTCTGCAATTGCATTTAATAACAGGCCTTTCATTTTGTTTTTTCATTCTATATTTTGTTTGTGTTTGCAATTTATTATGTGGCAGTATGTTTTTTTATTGTGTGTAGATCATTAAAACATGTCTAAGAAATACTTCATTATTTTTTATATTCTTTACTTTTATTATAGTATTTTTAAATTATAATTTAAAAAGCACTTATAATTTGTTAAAAAAAAATAATTGATTTCATTTCACATGGTTGTCCGACTTAATATATTTTGAGTTTTTTACTAGTTTGTTTTTATGTATATTTTCAATAGTCGTTGCTCGTTTATCAAAAACTATTCATTTGTTTCAATACTCTGTGAAAAAATTGCGGTGAGAGTGAAAGCTGCTTTTTAGCAAATTTGTTAAATATAGGTCTGGAAACTTTTTCACATTTTCTACCGAGGCAGTAAATTTTATCTTAAAAATTAAAAAAAAATAATTTTATTAATCATTTTTGTTTCCAGAGCCTTTTTTTCAAAAAGTTTCTGAATAGGTGTACCTGTTTTTTCCCACGTTTCGTAAAAACTTAGTTACCATGTACTTCGTTTCTTACGACTATATAGGTTTACCACTCCTTTATTATGATTTTGCTTTCTACAAATGGAAAACTTAGTTTTTAAGACTGTTTTTTAAATTAAAGTTAAGCGCTTTTGTGGCGAATTAAAATTTTTCGTTGGTTAAATTATTCATGTATTAGAATGTCTATTGAAATTTTTAAATGCCTCTACATAAATCAACGTCGTCTATTTAATAGTTTTACAATTGCTTCTTTCTATCAATATTGTTTTATTGACGTAACAAATATCCGGTGAAGATTTTTAAAAAATGCTGTTGGGTTATTAATTTTTTCGTAGTCACTTTATATTCTCCTCGTGCCAGCCATAAATAATTTCAGCTAATTGCGTGTATGACGACGTAGGTTGGTTTTGTTTCCCATCTTGTTCGTTGTTTCTACTTGTTTTATTACCATTTCTGCTACGTTTGTCATCTTTCACAATATAGAAGCAGTTTTTTTCTCTTTCCTACTATAATTCAAGTGTTCTAAAATCTAAATTTTTGTCATATTTTCGAACCATTTTGAAACTATTTTTATTAGTATATTTTAATTTCAAACATATTTAATTTTGTTGAAACTTTCATAAAGTTCATCACCTGAATGTTTTTGTTTAAATAATTTGTCTGTTTTAGAAAAAAATCGTAAACGTTTATTGCTTCTTTTATATTAACCCATGGATATAAATAATGAAATATAATAATTATATCCATGTATTAACCTTATGATTTCCATATTGAAACTTTTATTTTTTATTGGAATTTAGCAACAACTTGTTGGAACTTTGTTACATTTAACCTTTACCTTAATCCCGAATATCAATATGAATATCTGGACTCTGGAATATTCAAATCACCAAGCCGGCCATAGTCCTACAAAACCAGAATTTAACGTCATGGCTTTATGTGGCTGTTGAGATTTCTAACCCCTCGCCAACAATAAACTTGAAAAGAAACCAATATAAGTCAATATAATATATCCAATAAATAATAATGTTGAAAATAATGTAAAAAAAATAGCAAAGCTTGATTGTTTCAATGATCCATAAATAATTTATTTTTGATTTTATACAATCATTTCTTGTCAAGGCCAAATTAAGAGAAAAATTTTCAACAAGACACTGATGCTAATCTTTTCTGCATGTGGATGATGCTAATGCAGCAATAGTATAAAAGTAAGGTGTGTTGTACCGCTATTACAGTGGCCAGATTTGATTGCGAAGTGATCCACGATTAACACATGCAATGTGTGTGATGCGTTGTATCAGCTGTAATAAATTGCACAGAAAGCTAATGCTTTTGAAAGAGAAAATTTTTAGTAAGTAAATTTTCTTTTCAACAAAATTCCATTGCTTTAAACGCAAACTATGTTGAACGTTTATTTGAATACCAACAGCAATAGAAACAATAAACAAATCAAAGTAACTAATTATATCACATTTTTGACTTTGATTTCTCTGCTGGAAAACTGACTGTAAACCTGACTAAGTAGGACGTATATATAAATCCTAGATTTTAACGATGTCTTTTTACGATCCTCTATCCAAAGATTACAAATATTGCAAAGGTAACAATAATAAAATGATATAGCGAAATTCGATCATTTTGGCGGTTATAACAATTACTTAATTCGGTTAATATTGACTGTGTTAATTATGCAACATTTAGTATTTATTATTATTTCATTTTTATATGAAAATTCAAAACTCTTTTTTAATCTGATGAATTTAAATGATTGTTCTTAATTTTTAGTAAGAGTTTCTATGTTTACATGAATTTCAAATTGTTTTTTACATTGTTTGGTTTAATTTTTTGGAGACTTTTTTGACTTTTTCTTTTCAAGTTTTTTGTTACGGCGGTCTTTGCTCAAGCCATTTTCTCTTAAACAAATTAATAAATTAATTAGAAATTTGTTTTGGAGAGATCTTTATAAGAATAGTTTGGTAAATTTCTTAAATTATTGTAACATGGACGAACTTGATTAATTTTCTTTTTACCACCTTGGTACCTGTTTTTAATTGACAAGCGTTGACGGCTGAAAATTTGTTTATATGATATTTTAAAACATAACATAACATAACTGTTTAAAAAACTGGATTTTTATTTTTACAAAAATGGCAAAAAAGGTTATAATTATACAGGCTTCAATTATAGAGGTGGAATTGTTATCTGGATGAGAAAGTACGCTACTATGCATTTTCATAATTTATGTTAATTATTCAGGGTTGTGTATAATCATAATATACGTTAATTATTCCGCATCATTACAAAGATGTGGAAAATGCAATTATCAAAATGCAGATAAACAACGTGAACAAAGAATAATAAAAAAAATATTAAAAGTTGTAAATGGCTTGTAAAATTAATACGTCATGCAAAGTTTGTAAGTTATACAGATTATAATATAATATTCAAGAATATAGACAAAGTTAGTATAATACAGACAAAGTTAATTATTTAGACAAATCTCATAGTATTTAAACGAGAACGCTGCCTGCAAATTTTAAACACTTCAATTACTTGCTCAGGAAACTTGCTCTCGTGAACACTTTTTAGACACATTGAATAAAAACATTTTAAATATTTTTTTTTCTAGCTAATAGTTCTGTGTAGGATACACATTGAATAAAAACATTTTAAATATTTTTTTTCTAGCTAATAGTTCTGTGTAGGATACCAATAATGCCGATTGAAATCTATATTGACTCCGCTGAAAGTTCGAATGTGGTGAAGTTGACGGAGATTACCGGGAATATAGTTAGAGGGGCACAGTATGATACTTATGGGTCAACCTCTTTAACAGAGGAGCCACTGTCGAACTTTGGGCGACAAGCTTGCCACATTACCAAAATTATGAACTGACCACTGCAACAGACAAGTCACAGTATCATACTTATGTGCTAACCACAGCAACAGACGGGCCACAGTTTACTACTCATGGTCTGACCACTGGAACCGACGGGATTCAATACTATAATTATGAACTGACCACTGCAACAGACGAGCCCCAGTATTATACTTATGGGCTGACCACTGAAACAGACGGGATTCAATATTATAATTATGAACTGAAAACAGCATTAAACGAGCAACATTATCATACTTATGGGCTGACCACTGCAACAGACGAGCCACAGTATCATACTTATGGGCTGACCACTGAAACAGACGGGATTCAATATCATAATTATGAACTGACCACAGTATCATACTAAAGAAATGACCACTGCAACAGAGGAGCCACAGTATCATACTTATGAGGTGACCACTGCAACAGACGAGCCACATTATTATATTTGTGCTGACCACTGCAACAGACGGGCCACAGTATCTTACTTATGTGCTGACCACTGCAAAAGACGGGCCACAGTATCTTACTTATGTGCTGACCACTGCAAAAGACGGGCCACATTATCATACTTACGGACTGACCCCTGCAACAGGCGGGCCACATTATCATACTTATGGTCTGACCCCTGCAACAGACGGGCCACAGTATCATACTTTTTAAGAACATATAGTGGACCAAAAACACTAAGAGAAGATGTCCTTCTGGTTTTGTAAATAAATATTATTTTTACACGACCCTTCAGACATGAACCATTATATGCTACCGGCAAGAGTTCATGATTTTTGCGGACCTGGATAAAATAGCATTTATTTTATTAATTTTCTAAGCAGATCTTTCTAATAGCATTTTAATAATTTGCTTAACTTACGGTAACATGAATAAAAGCTTGATTAATTTTATATCATTTTCGTCATTTTTGTAACGATTTATAATAGACGAGCTGTGAAGAATGAAAATGTAAATTATTTAGCCAAGATTGTATTTCTCTCAATGCTATTGAACTTAACATAAATCTCGCAGTTGCATCCTTGATTAAGTAATTTTCCTTAAATTTTTAAATTGAAATCGTGATTAAAAAATAGAATAAAATTCAACCAAATAAAGAAAGCTTTGTCTAATACCTGATGTTTCGAGCAAAACAGTTGCTGGAAGAGAAGAAGGTCTATCCTGAGCAACGCTTTTCAATTTAACTGACTGTTAGGCCCTTTATTTGCTTTACGTTCGTAAAACATTCCTGCGGAAAAAATAATTTGGCCAATTTTGGAAACAAATAAAAACTTATAACTTTTTCGACCTTTGAGACATTAAAAAAATTCTTTGCTTCGTCTTAAAAATTATTAACTTCTTATAAAAAACTTCTTATAAAAAATTTGATGATTAATAATGTAAAATTTGTGCAAGTTATTCAATATTCTGCATCTAACTTAAAAAGTTTATGTTTCATTTTTCATTTTTTCATAACTTGAAATTTGTAGATTTTAATAAAATTATATCTCAAATAAATTATGTTGAGTTATGTCAGTAACTTGTTTCATTTAGATATTCCTATTACAATCTGTTTATTTTTAAGACAAATGATGTTTCAAACGTTTCTTGAAAACATGTCGGTCCATATTTTTGAATTTCTTCAAAACTACGGATAGCGAATTTCAGATTTTTGCAGATAAAACAGTTCTCTTCCCAGAAGAATACGAATTATAATACAACCATATACAATATATATGTAATTTTGCGTGCACATATACATGCATACATATACAAACAATAAACTAAATAACATTAAAAATAACAATAAATCGAGTTTGTTTGTGGCAGAAGTTAATGACTGTCAATTGATTTAAAGTGACAGACAATCTCTTTACTTTTCGTTTAACTACAATAACTTGGAAATTGTAGTTAATAAACAAAACGTGGAAAAAAGCCTTGTCTATAATAAGCCTTGTAATAATAAATTTTTATTTTTTAATGTGTTACTAATTATAAAACCACTAAATTTTTCAAAACATTTAGTTGTTAGTTTTAGTTTTTTTCTGAGGTATCCTTTGATTGACAACCTAAGATTGCATATGTTTCAATAGCATGCTTCAATAATAATCTTATTAAACTCTGTTGTCTTTTATTGTTGTTGTTTTTGTTGATATTGTTGTTATTAATTATTTATTAATACCGTGACGACAATCTATTACGTGTACATATTCGTGCGTACATCATGAATCTTCACCGATCATTTCAATGATTGAGCGACCATTTGTAATGATGACCACGTTGTATTCATTGAGGAAAGTATGTCTAATGTGCAATGTGCAGCCAATTTGTATTAAAATTACATTTTGTCATTTAATTTTCTTTTTCAATTTTTTTGATTGAAAATTTCGTGATTCAGGTTTGATTATTATTATGAGGTTTATAACCTCTGACTTTTCATCTTTATTTCGATATAATAAATAACTAATAATATTTCTCTTCATATTCAGCAAAAGAAATTGTGTAAAAATACGATTTAAAAAATTGAAATAGAAAAAATATGATTTATGATAAATTTATACCCAAAAGAAAGCAAAATAAATAATTTATTTCTTAAGAACGAAGCATTGTTCATTCTCATTAGACTTGCAGCACCACGTTAGGAGTACAACCAGCGCAGATCTATCATCGTGGTTCTGCGCTGGTTATATTTATCAAAAGTTTCATAAAATATATTCATAATATCTTTTAATTGATGGATGCTTTTTCAATATGTATTTATTTCTTTTAACAAATTTCAAACACTTTTAAACTCGCATAAGCTGTATTCTAAAATATGGAGGGTGATTTTATGATTTTATTTGTTTTCAACAGTTTTAAAATACAATCAATACTGTTACTATCATCTTCATCATTGCAGTTGAATTATGATTTTCAGCGTTCTAGATGTCATCTTCATCCGAACATACAGCTGCACGTATGAAGTGGTGGGTATTACCAACATGGTGATCTTTAATGTTTGGACGATGTTGGATAGGTCATAAATACAGGAGACTTGCAAATCACCCTTCCTATCACATTCATCCTCATTACTGAGACTACGTTGGAAGAATATGAAAAGGAAAACTTTCGTTTATTTCTCTGTTTCTATTCACTCCATTTGTTGGTGAAAAGAAAGTTAACAAGCAATTTGAATGTGGCGAATAGATTAATATTCAGGTTGGAACACCTTAATGTTAACATGATATTGTTGAATGTGTTAGAAATGAACATTTTTTGAATCAATTCGTCGGACTTTGATTTCACAAACCGACTAAATTTTTTAATTGCATATACTGCAGATCCATCAGCTAATGGAAACTGTCGTCCATTAGGATCAAACTGTTCCTTAACACGAGTTTGCTTAATGGGACCGCAAATGTGGCAGCTGCGAGAAGAAACCGCTCGTCTAACAACATACATTAATTCAATTATTCAAATCAATTATTACTTCTTATGAACAATTTTAAAAATTATTTAGATCTGATAATAATGTGTGCTTGAAGTTGACGTTTTAAATACTGATTTTATCTGGAACAAAATGTCAAAAAGACAATTAAAACATGTTCTTAAGAAATCTCATTATTGAACATATTTAAAAAAAATTTAGTATCTAAAAAATCATTTTTGTTACTAAGCCGTTGGTTGCATAAATATTCAAACAAGTTATAAGCGTTAACTTGCTTATATTTGTGTCTGTATATATATATAAAATTATTTATTATTACCATTTTGTAGTTTTTGAATAAGTAAAATGAATTATATTTCCAATTTTTAAAATGTGTGTTCGACTACGCTGTTCTTAAAGCGTTACCAAAAAATACAATTCATCTTCCCTAAAAAATAATACACATTATAAACGAAAAAGATCAAATTCGGTTAATGGGACCAGCCAGTTTATCGAACCACTTTGTTTCTACTGGGTAGTGTTCTTTGAATGAAACAACTAAACCACAAACACAAGAATGTTTAATGCTAGATTAAATTATCTCAACTACAAAATATTTTTGAATACTAACACATAGAAAACAATACCTATAAATAAACGCATGAAAACGTTTTATGTTGGCATTGTTCGGTTGTAATATGATCTCGATTATCTGGTCTGGGTAACTTCTTGAAAATGTTTTTATTTTATAAATGTTTGACGTGATGAAGTCTTTCAACAAAACACGTTTCTTGCAAGTTACCAAAAAGTCAACAATTTTTCAATGAATTTTTATTCATACTTATATTCGTTAGTTAAACAATTCCGAAGTTGTGCGAGCATTTATTCATGGCAACCTCACGTAGTGAATTTGACTGAATTTTATAACAATTTCGCTGTTGAATATTAAAATAATTTTAATGGCAATGTAAACTTGCTTAGTTAAAAAACTTTGACATTTGGCAATACGAACCAGAGACAAGAAGAAGAGCACACGTATGCTTACATGACGTTGTAACAAACGACGCCAACAAGCATTTCAGAAGCGATGAAGATCGTAAACAACATAAACAAGTTCGCAACGTTTGGGTGGCTGAATAATTGCATGTTTCTTGCGTGTTTAGAGGATTTTGTATGCACAAATGCATTTTGTACATGAGCAACATACAATTGCAACACGCAACCTATTTTCAACGGACGTGGGACAACAATCAGACTCGGAGAATGAAACTGGGTCACATCGCATGTAATTGATGTTCATTCGCATTTGCTCTTTAGAATAATTGTCGTTATTGGTAGATGTTTCGATTGTACATAAATTCATTTGTCAGCAAACAATTAGATGAATCACAATTTGTAGTGGCTCAGAACAAACTTCCAGTTCCAGAAGAGTCAACAAGCAAATGAACTAAATTCAAAAACTAAACTTTTTGCAATAATTCACATTATTATTTGTTCTTTGAAAGGTGAAATCCTATTTTTTCATAAACAAATAAAACACCGATTTCAATAATTTTGCTATTTTAGTTATTTTTATGAAAAAATTATGAAAATTGGATGGCATGTGTAAAGTTGTTATAAAATTTAGGATTTGTTTTAAACTGAAAGTTGTTATAAAATTTAGGGTTTGTTTTAAACTGAAAGTTGTTATTAAATTTAAGATTTGTTTTTAAAGTCCAACAAAATTATTCAAAATTGCCTGACATCTATGGAAATATTTATGAATTTGTAACTCTTTATCCTATCGCCAGACTTTTGATTTGCACACTTCGCAAACCAGAACAATCTAATCACGCGTTTTTGTTCTTTTATATAGATAGATGATCTAATTTTCTTTAAATATTACTTTGTAGTAAGCAATACAGCGCTGAGATGAAACGATGTGGAGTCTCGTCTCCAGGCTGGCAGATGGTGAAGTTCCCAATTGGGATATCTTTTTGGAATGCACCAAATAAATAACCAAAAATAATAATTTTCAATAAAATTTATAAAAATAATCTTGCATGTCAAGTCAAAAGATTGGCAAATAAATTTGGGAGAATATTTTCAAACTTCAACTAAATTTATGTTAAAAATAAAAAAATGGATTATATTAATTATGACATTATAAACTGTTGTTATTAAGATTTTAAATTGTTGATAATTATGTTTAAAAGAAAATTGCTTGGAATATTTAACAAATTCAAACGTAGTATTTTATCTCGTTTCAATGAATAATTTTTCTCATTTTTTATTCAGATCCAAAAATGAATCTGGTTAATCAAATCAAAAAAGTATGGAGGTGCTGAAGGGGAAAAACACCATCACTTAATATTTCACACTTTGGAGTTTTACAACGTCATGGTTCCCAAGACTTTGAGTTATTTTTTTATTTCAAAGGATTTAAATGCACTTTGAGTTAATGAGTTGCGTTTTTGTTTCAACACTATATTAATAACATAATAGATAATTTGTTACTTGGAATAAAATGTGTCGAATTAGAAAAATGTATAACTCTATATGTATATTCAAATAATTTCTTCTTCTTTTTATTTATTCGATATAGTGCTATTTAACAGGTTTTTAACAAACAAGACAAAGTAATAAATCATCAAAAACAACAATTGGTTTATAATAAATGAAGAAGATTTTGAAAAAAGTTTGAGCAAGTAACTTTTGTTGTTAGTTATTGCTTACAACGCATCAATGATTAATCAAAAGCCGTTTTCAAAAACCACCTTCTATAGATAAAAAATCCAATTATTTTGTATTTTTATGATATTTTCATATTTTTGTCGTTAAAATACTGACTAGAATGATTAAAAATGTCAAAATCACAAAAATGAGCTGCCAACTGTTTTAGAATCCAACTCCACTTTTTGTTGCTCCAGAGCCTGCACACATTTTAAGTCCTGTCCCACGTCAATCAGTTGCCATCTACAGCTCTCAGTGCATCAATCATGAAATTTGAATCGTGAGTGTTACAAATCCATACAAAATAATGATGAATTGTCGTCTCATATACGATGAAACTGAGCTAAACTTAGCGGTAAGTTATATTCAGAGTAATGAATAATGTCAGCTTAGCGATCAGATAAGGCTAAGAATTCGTCTGATCAATTGAAATTTAAATGTTAGGTAGAAATAATAAGGCAGAAAATTTGAAAAAAATGTTATAGTTTTGTAAAAGTATGACATTTCCCAAAATAAATTGTGTCTGAAACGTGTAAAAACATCACAGAAAGTTTGACTACGAAACGAACAACAAACAAGCAGCTGAAAAATATTATTTAATTCATTAGTTATTCAAACTCGCGCCTAACAAGTACATGTCAATCATGGACAGTATAACACGCCCCCATAACAGATGCTGCTATCAATGGATGGATGGATGGATGGATGGATGGATGGATGGATGGATGGATGGATGGATGGATGGATGGATGGATGGATGGATGGATGGATGGATGGATGGATGGATGGATGGATGGAGTAATTAATTAGTTATTAAATATATAAATGGATAGAGAGATTGATGGATGAGTAGTATGAATGAATAGACGAATAGATGCATGCAAGGATGGATGAATGGGATAAAAAAACTGATCGACGTATGGAAGCAAAAAGTGAGACTTTTGAAAAAATGAGTAAATGAACAGAAAAACAACACACAAATTAATTTATTATTTTGCACTCATATGAAACGGGGCACTGATTACATGAAATCGGAATAATACTCCTTCTAACAAAATTTAAAAAAATGAATTTATTACGTAAATAAAAAACTTACTAATTTAGTAATGAACGGGCAGGAGCAAGCACATCAACCAGTGATGATTTATTTAAATAAAAATAAAATTAAGAATAAAAGGATTTAATTTACATGAGTAAAAGTAGAAGTATAAAGAAATTAATTTTGAAAAGTAAAGGTTACAGTTAAGTAATGCTGAGGTAAAAATGACTTAGTTTTACTCTTAAATAATTTTCCGCTGCCAAAATTTAAGAATTTTGTCTAGTTTCTGCAACTTGCATGCTTTCAGATGTCCCTTCATAGCCGTCCTGAGGAGAATGGCATCAAAATTGTTTCCCCTCCATCTACCAACGCAAACGACCATGGTCCTCCAGCAAAACGGTTCATACTCATTGCCGACAAAATTTTAAACCAAAATAATGTGTTGAGAAAAGAAAATATTTCAATTGATAATCAACTTAAACGACGTCCAGCATTTAACATTTGACAGCCTCTCTGATGTTTTCATGCACTGGACACCAAGAGAAAGTCAATTTAATCTGCTTGCCCCAGTTGCGTTGGATCCGTTAGCTGCACGAGCTTTGCAAGCTTATGTTGAACAAACCTATCTTGTGTGCAAAATGTTGACAGCTGGAAGGAAAAATGAAACGGAAAAGCATTAACCACATGTGTCTGTTTAAAACTATATATGCCCGTGATGGTAGCATTTGACATTTTTTGATTCAATTAAAGCAAATTATTTTTTGAAATAAACTGCTAACAATTACTTGAACTGAACTGTTTTGTCGACTTTGGTATTTATGTCAAGATGAAAAGTAAAATTATGATGGAAGTAAGAGTAGGAAGAGTTTCACCAAAAGTAATTAAAATTAAAAGTAAAATAAATTACAGAACTAAAAGTAAAAATGAATTAAAATGATTTAAAATGCAAGAAATGTAAACATAAAATTAAGTTAAAGGTTTTTAATGGTGTACTCACTATTTCAACATGCCCAATTCAAAGACATTAAAAAACATGTAAAACACAAATATTTATCTTTAATAGAACGATTACAAGGTTACAATGCTGAAGATGACCTGACGATGATGAAGATAACGATGACGACGATGATGATAATTATGATAATGATGATAGTGGTGGTTAAATGATGACGCTGTTGATGATGGTGGTTATTATGTAGACAGTTATAAGAGCTGTCCTCGGATGAAACACACATTAAAGTTTTGATCAATCGAGTGAGGTCAGACGGCATTTTCATCATTTTGCCTTTGTGTGCCTGTGTGTGTGTCTGTGTGTGTGTGTGTGAAAGTTTGTATCTATGTGTGCAATTGTGTCTAGAGTTTAGTATCCGTAGTTTGTTGCTCCAAAATAAGCGATCACCAAAATAGCGACAATTTACGTTGTAGCTACCTCGTGTACTTCCTCCATCAATCATCATCGTCGTTGTCGTCATCATCCCCATCTTCTCTATCAGCACAATCAAAACTATCCTTTATTTTCTAAAAACGATCATCATCACCACCATCTCCGTGTGTCCATCGTACTTTTAATCATGGTCATCATTTCATCCCACGCACTCCACATTGTCTCAATCGTTTGGTCTGCTTCTTATGGGTCGTTGCACATCTCTCTCCTTTTCTTCGTTTGTCTGCTGGTCTGTGTGTCCATGTGCCTTTGTGTGTCTACGTGCGTCTTTGCGTTCGTGTGTTTTTATGTGTGTTTGTATATGTGCGTGTCTTTTATTTTTTGTTCACGTGTGTCTCTGTCTATGTATTGTTCTTGTGCCTGAGTATCAATTGTATCAATTGCATCATTGTTTGTCTCTACGCAGGCGTGTACAAGTCAAATCAAGATAACGTGTACCTGTGTGCAGTGTGTACGTTCGCCGCTGTGCATTTAATATGCCCAGGAGTATTCTAAAAACTTATGACATATATTTGGCATTGATAGTTGAGAAGCAGTTTTTTAAACCTTTTAATGTTTTTTTATTTAATTACTAAAACTGAGTTGAGATCTTTTGTTAGCAGTGTTGTTACTGTTATAATTGTTGATGTTATTGTTAATGTTGGTGCTGAAGTTGTTGAAGTTATTGTAGTTGTTGATGTGGTTGTGTACAGTGCAGTTGTTGATGTGATTGTTGTTGATGTGCTTGCATACAGTACAGTTGTTGATGTTATTGTTGTTGATGTGGTTGTCTACAACACACATGTTTCTTCAGAGCAGAGAAAATTTTGAATATTCAATAAGCGCTGCATCTATTTATTCATGAATTCAAATTCAATTTTGCATAATCAATGAACGAACAACTAGCAGTCGTGATTGTTCGTGGCTTTTCGATACGGTCCCTAGTAAAACGACATCATCACTACATCATCACATCATTACATTATCATATTACTACATTATTATATCACTACATCAGCACATCATTATATTATCGCATCATCACATAATCATATTATCACAACAAAACCTTGAAACATTGCTTCATTACATGAAAACATTAAAACATCGCATCATTATAATCATAATCATCATGAGCATCGTCGTCATCCCTATCGTCGTCATCATCATCATAATCATCGCCATCATCATATTCCTTATCATCACCATCATCAGCACCACCATCATTAGCACCATCATCGTCACCATCATCATCACCATCACCGTCATCATTGTAAGCGGTCCTTTAACACAACAACACGACCAACAACCACCAAACAAAACATCAATAATAGTACATGAGTCTGGTGCAAAAGTTCTGTTTAGTTTAATTGCTGATAATTTTGACGGTTATGATGCTTATTGAATTGCATTTTTTACAAAATCCTTAAATCTTTTAACGTAAAATTACGATAACGATTTTAAAATAATTTTTAAGATTAATTTTTTTGAAACAAAATGTTTGATCAGTTACAGAAACGTAAATTACATTCTAGCGCCATATTTTGTATTTGTGTGCAATGATATTTGGGAATTATTTATTGAAAATGAAAAGCAACATTTGGTGAGTTGATCCTGGAGTATTGTTGCATCTTCTCAAACAACAACAAAAAACAGCGGTTCGTTTGTTTTTATTCAGTTATATTTTTAAAAATTATTCATATGAGAATAAAAATTTTGTTAAGACACAAGTCCTATATTGTTTAATATTGTTTATTTTGCTACAAACTATCTTACTGGGAAATTTTTACAAAAGTAACAAGACAAACGATGCTTATCAACAAAAATGATCAAACAATCAAAATATTTTTAAGTTTATCACAGAAATATCATTACTGTTTAACAACGTGTCATCAGAACAACTAAAATAAAGTGGTGGCCGACCCAACACAAAAACATCAGCCCTACAATCATCAATCACACTCCACAACAATACACACTCTACCAAAAATTAACCTAGAAATAAACCTGACCTGAACAAATTCTGCAACAATAAATACAACACAACTAAATGCGCATATTCAACGTAGCAAGATTAGCAATCAGAACATTGAACTAACAACCAACCACACAACAAAACCAACAAAACTATGAACCATGCCACACAACGCACTAGACGACATTGGCACTCGTGAACAGTTTATAAACCCACCTCGCAGATTACTATCTGTTGAAATGTCAACCATATGTACACAAATAAATAACTCATTACTAAAGATCTTTGCAAACAACGCGCTAACTACCTCTATGCGGCTACCTCTGTGTGTATGTGCGTTCGCATGTTTGCATATATGTTGATTAACTGATATGTTTGCACGATCGTATGTTCGCACGTTCGTATGTTTGTTCTTTCTTTTATATATTTCTACTATTGTATGTTCGCTGGATGTTTGCATGTTTTCATTTTCATCAGTTTGTTTGCTTGTACTACTTTTGTATACCTACACGTTCGTATGTTAACACCTTTGTACGTTAAACAAAAAAAAAAGAACAACAATAACGAATAATTACAGATAATTATAAATAATAATATATAATAATAAAAATTAAATAAAAAACAAAAAAATTAAAGTTATGTATTAAGTTATGGTCCACGATATTCAAATGAATCCGACCACTTCAAAGACACCTTCCCCCATCTGTTACACAACCCACAAACAAGATAGCAAGCACGATGGCAGAGCAGATATGATGCAAAACCTCTCATTAATTACACAGCCATCCAATTCTTTCAAGTTAACTTTGTTCTTCAAAAGTTCAAGTCAGTGAATTAGTGAGCAATAGGCAATTGTTGCACACGTTAATATATATAATTACAGATATAAAATATAATAGGTAGATGTAGTAGAGATTGTAGATATAAATAATGGATATATGTGATATCTATAGTAGATATAATGTAAAACATTTTAGATATTGATAGCAAAACTTGTCCTGCTGCTTATAATTTGTTGCTAGTATTATGCAGGTAGCGAAAATTTTGGCGGATTTCGACAACTTTGATGGGAAGATGCCAAAATTTAGAAAATATTTAAATTTTCACGGGGGCCAAGATTTGTGGTATTGTGGCTGAACTGACAACCTTAGATCAAGCCATAACTTTATAAAGGACGCCAGCGGAAAATGGGTTAACATAGTAACAGCTACATGAAAAGGAATAGAGACACTACCTATTTGAATTTGAAATTATGAAGTAGATGTAATGATAGATTGGATGGTCGGTGGTGGGTTGAAGATTTTATCATCGTCATTCATCATTCTATTCATGCCAGCATTGTTTTAAGATTTCAATGGCGAATGAAACCAATGAGGATTCTGTCATTTTGAATTTTGCATGGCGCTTTCAAATCATTTTATTGTAAAGATTTAAAAATGTATAGTTCCGCCAAAAAATGTGTGAATTATCACAAATCATTCAATATAATTGCTATTATATATTTCTGGTGTATGGTTTATTTAAAAGAGAAAATGATAGTTCCAACAACAAAAAATTTTGAGGTTTTCACTGAATATTTTTTTAATTTGAAAATAATTTGCAATCAGAAAAGTCAATAAATCAATGTAGCCCTAACAATTGGAAACATATTGTTGGTTAAATATTTTATTGCTCGTGACATTTTTATTGCTTGGTTCTAACATATTTTGGCACGGCTTTCTTAGGAGAAAGCGTAACATACACGATACATTGATGATCAGTGATACATTGATGTTTGATGATACATACACTGTACATTGATGTTTGATGATACAAACAATGATACATAGATGTTTAATGATACATTTAAGGATACTAAGATTTTTGATGATACATTTAATAATACTTTGAAGTTGTTTCACGTTTTCAGTTTAAAGAAGTTTGAGTCTAATTTATTTTTTTACTAGACAACTTTAAATCAAACGATATTTCAATATGTCTATAACTTACCTTTAAGAAAAAATTGTCTGTAAATAATGAAATAATTTGAAAATAATTTTTTATACCATGAAATATATGTGACTGGCTAGAAAATAATGATTTGGACATAAACTACTATATGAAAAACGATTGAAAAAATTAAGTAGAATTAAGAACTGTACCGTATTTTACTATTATACTTGATATAAAAGGGGTATTATTTTCTTCTGCTGTATTATTTATTTCAGGCAATGTATCATTGTATAATAGATGAATAGGCAAGGATTGTTTTTGCATCAGTTTGATTTAACCCTACCGCACCACCAATTATAATTAAAGTTTATGGTTCCAGACGAAAGGCTGAATTGTTCTCTGATGAGTGTGAGATATAATACTTGTGCAATTACATTGTTGAAAATTGTCAGCGATTGGTAGTATCAATACAACATTTTGAAATTTTAAAAAATTGATAAAAAATTATAATTATTAAAATGCAATAATAACAATAATAAAATTTTCTGGCTAAAATTCATCCAAAAATATGAAATTTTCCATGTCACATCAAGTATTCCACAACATCCTAACATAAACCTCATCAAGATTATCTTAAATTTATTTTAATCCAATCCGAAGAGAATTAAATGACCGTTAAAATTATTATCTGTGAATGTTTAAAAAATAGTTTTAAAATAAATAAATAAACTGATATTTTCTTGGTTAACAAGCTAACGTTTTCTTTCAATATGTTCTCGGTGGGAGGTACTGGAGCGAGGCATTTTTAGGACAGGCTCGTACAATCATCTCACTCGTTCCTTCCCCGTCTGACCATCCGGCAGGTCTCACTGAAACTTTCCTCAAATTATTTTACAACACGCGCCATTCCTCTAATTGTTTTACAACGAATTTCTGGAGATGCCATATTGAGCCGATGATTAAGAAAGTTTAACGGAAGATGTGACTCATAAATGTATTAAGCCTTTGAGTTTTAAGGTGGCTCTCGTTACTCATCATCACCTGTCACCCCAAGCAAATTGTTTTATAGCCATGTGATAATTAAATTAAATGTGATGACGTTGTAACTTTTAATGATGTCAGTATCACGTGATAAAAATGAATTCATCTCCATTTTTGTTTTTGATTATTTCGTTTTCATAACCACATTCCAGACAAAAAATAAATTTTTTGAAAATTTTTTTAGCTACGGTTATCAAAAGAAAAATTGTTATTAAAAACATTATCACAAAATAACATCCACGCAGCCATCATCCAACAACTGGTCCTATGATCAAATCTCACAAAGTTTGACAGAGTTGACGAGTTCACCATCACAACCGACCGAAGACTTGCTGATCGATAGTCTGGAGAAAATTACGAAGGAGAAAAAGACATGAACTTTATGTTTATCAGATTGAACTGAAGTCATCTCGTCCGCAGCAGGGTGAAGGTGTTGCTATAATGAGCAACTGATCAGTTCCTCCATTATTACTTTATTAATATAACAAAGGGCTTGCACAACCAATTAACATAATCAGATCTTAACAAAGTGAACTTATGAAATGGTTTTATTCACAAATGCTTTCTATGAAACAATTATTTTATTTTTTTTTAAATAATATAAATTTGTAATTTTTATGAAAAAATGTTCAAAACAATATCCAAAAAATTAACTATTGGTTGACGTTGAGATTTAATTTAAACAAAGACCGCCCATTTATTGATCGATAACACAATGATCGCTTCTGATTGGCTGACGAGTGTTCTAACAAAAGTGGACTGTCACTTCTATTGTTTGTGGAGGTGATGATGATGATGATGATGATGATGATGATGTCATCGATAACGATGCGAAATATGGTAATTAAAGTGATCGTAAACTTGGTATATATAAACTGAGGACGTGATTTCAGAAAATAAATCTTCCGAGCATATGAAAACATAAGTCAGCAACATTGAATCAATCTTACATATAATCGTATAACTGGTTTGATAACTGGCGAAGCTAAAAGATGTAAATTTTTTCTCTAAATAAAACAATAATTTTTGGTAAACTAAACTTTAAGAAAGTTTATAAACGTTAATAAAAGAGATTTTTTCACAGACTACTTGGAAATATTGGAAATATTCATAAATTGATAATTCGGATTTTTTTAAAAATTATTGTTGGGCAGTTTTTTTGATTCATCAAACAGTATGAAGCAAGAGAACACCACAACTGAATCAACAAATAAACATTTTTTGGGTTGCTCAGAGAAACAAAATTGTAGCAGCAATATCAACAATGACAACTTCATTGCCAACGAAATCAACAACACTAACAACAGCTACGCAAGCACCAACAACAATATCAAACACAACAGGACTAACAACAACAGCAAAAATACTAATTACAACAGTATAGCAAAAAACATAAACAACTTCAACAACAATAAGTATGCAGACGATTATGGCAAGTGCAACGTTAGCGAAAGCTACAACGCTTACAACAACTACGCAAACGACAACGTCAACAACAACAACCACAGCAAGACCAGCAAAAACATGGATAGCGCAAACAACTATATACTAAAATTAATTGACAACGTTGAAAGCAACACCAAAACAAACAACAATAACAACTGCATGCTAAACAATCTTCCTCCAATGTCAACAATCGGAACGGCATCACCTCAGACCATGTACCCACCATCATCTCCTCCTCAGATGCAAATGTTGAAACCTCAGCAGCTAACAACTGATGACGAAACGTGGCAACAAATGTTGCGTCAACAATCCAACGCCTATCAACTATTAGGCAGCAACTACAACGCCAATCCTTACAAAGCCACGCTTCGACAGACTGATGCGAATCTGCGTTACCATCCTTACATCAAGCAGAAACAAAACGACGGCAGTCTTCAACCTTTCACAAGTTTTGAACAAATGTTCCTCAACAACAACAGCATGATCAACAACAATAACAACAACATGACCAACAACCTCATGATTGACAACAACAACAACCTCTCTCCAATAAGTGACACACAGCAACAACAAAATTTGTACACAACTCCGATAAGGTCGATGCAGCAGAATGGAACATTTCAACCAACTCCATTGCAATACGACAACGACAAAACAACAACACCACCGTTCCAACAGATGCTCCAAACACATCAACACTTATCATTACAACAACAGCAACAAAACATGAATAACATCAACAACTACCCTCCTTCACTCGACATGTACAACAACGCACACAACCCGGCAGCTAATTTTACACAAGCAACTGCAATGAACAACTTTGACTTCAACTGCTTGCACTCCACGCCCAAATATGATCAACACAAAACCGTCAACAACTACTACGCTTACAACAACTTTGTTTTTTGTCTACCGCAACAGTTCCAGCAACCGTTCACGAACAACCAGCAACAACTGCAACATCAGATGAGTTGCGATCATCTGAATGCATCCTGCAACAAACTCGCAAGCAGAGGTAGGTTCATTTTGTACAACATTTTCTATAATTCAATAATTAATATTTTATTTACCAAATTATGCTTATTACTGCAACATAATTTGAATAACAACGACATTCGCCTAGGCTGGATGTGAAATGCTGGCGAATGTTAGGGCGATATAAAAGTGACTGGCTCTCATTGGAACATTGTAAACGCATCAACATCTGTTCCTTCATTCTTTCATTTTATTCTTTTTCTTCTTTTCATTCATAAAATCTTCAGCAATTTTTTTTCTCTCGCTATCTAGTCACTGACGTTTCCAAAAATTTATATTGCAAATCGATTCATTAGGAACTTTTAACAAATTAATCTTCAAGTAACCATGAATTATTTGCGCTAAAGAACCAAAACTCACAAGAGCGCATTTTAAAGGGACTACACTGCGTAGGCCGGGTACTGCGAACGAGCAGTTTAATGTTAAATGATGTCAGAGAACTAATTTAGTCTAATTAACAGCTATCAATTGCTTCTTCCTAAGCCTAATTGATAGACTATTTCAGGCTATGTCGCACGTATAAAATTCATGTGTCTGTGTATATGTGCGTCTGGGTGTATGTGTGTCTGTGTGTTTGTCTGTTTACGTGTGTTTGTTGAACTGGGCTGAATATTCTGTACAACAAATGTTTTTTTGTGGTTTATTAAAACCGCAGAATCTAAAATCATTTAAAATATGTTGTTTAAGAAATTCGACCGGGTACCAGATTTGAAAATGATGCATATAAACGCTCGTCATGTTTGCAAATCAAGAAATTGACAACAAACTTCACACCAACACACACACACACACACACACATACAGATTTATAATATATTATAATATGTACACAAATATATATATATATATGGGCGCGTTGAACATAATGTCCATTAATACTTGCTAAACTGCGACTGAAGATGACACATTTACAACATAATTGTAACTCGCCAAACTATGAGACAGCCCACAAATTGATTGCAGTAATAGTATTAGATTTTTTTTTTTCATATAAATTTTATAATATTTGTTTTTTACAATGACATAATTTTTAACAATAATACTAATATGAACATTTGTGAAATTTCAGATTTGCTTGCCATCAATCAAAGTGAACTGGACAACAAATCAACCAACGGCAACTACAACTTCCACAACAACTTCAACACAGACGGCAACAACAATCAGCTTCTGGCCATTACATACAACAAAACAACAAACAACAACGCAGACAACAGCAACACAAACAGCAGCCATAAAACGAGTCCTGTCAAAAGTACATCCACCCTCCCCAACAGTGTCTCTGAACTCATCTACCCAGAACTCGAAGATTTTGCTCGTCACTTCAAACAAAGTCGCATTCGTTTGGGCTACACGCAAGCAGACGTCGGTCAGACGCTTGGCGATCTCTACGGCAGCCTCTTCTCCCAGACAACCATTTGCCGGTTCGAAGCCTTGCAACTGAGCGTTAGAAACATGACCAAGTTAAAACCTCTCATGGAAAAGTGGCTCGAAGATGTAGACAAAAATAATTTGGACGCCAAATCACCGAGTAGTGGCAGCAGCAGCAACAACAATAACATGCCACCTTTCGACATGTATCCCGGATGCAGCAACAACAACAACAGCAGTGTTAGCCACGGTTATAACAGCGGAGGTAGCAACCTTCTGAACAATTCACTGGAAAGTAACAATTTCAGCAACGGAAGCAACTTAATGGCTTCTTCGTCCTTCTTGCAAAGTTCATCGGCATCGCATCAAGAGTCATCTTCAACAAACGACAACAGTGGCAACAACAGCAGCGGCTTGGTGTTGTCGCCGCCAAATGAACTGTCGTCGTCAGCGTCAGCTTTCCAGTTTTGTACGAAACAAAGAAAAAAACGGACGAGCATTGACAGCTTGACGCGAAAGATTCTCGAGAACGAGTTTCGGATGAAAAACAAACCGACAGCCCGTGAAATCGCAAAAATAGCAAACAACCTGCAAAAAGAACGTGAAACCATTCGAATTTGGTTCTGCAACAGACGACAGAAAGAAAAACGAATTGTACTCGGTCTCCCGGAAACTACGTCACAAAACACAGTGGCCTACGTCATCCAAAAGAACAACGCCTTGCAAAACGCCACGCTGAAACAGGCGAACGATTATTACTGGCAGGATATGAACAGAAACAATACATCCGCTTCTAGTAGCTACGATCTCTACCGCAACCACCACAACAACAGCTTCAACAACAACTTCATGATAAATAACAGAAATGATGAAGAAGATGACGAAGATGAAGACACTGAAAATAACGGATCGAAATATATGAACGCGTACGATATGAACGGAATGAATGACATGTACCTGTACAGCGGATACCCTGGCCTCATCCAGCATACCCAACCACACAAAGCTTCGAGCATGGATGTCAACGTGATCAACAACAACATCATCAACAGCAACGTCATCACAAACAAAAACATCAACAACAACAGCAACAATGTTAACAGCGTCGTCAATAACATCAACAACAACAATGTAAACAGTTTAAATGAAATTCATAATGACAACAATTTATGTAGCAGCGCAAGCAAAAACATCAACAAAGAAAACAGCATCACTAACCTACCGTTGCAATATTAATCTTTAATTGACATTATTTTTATGTTTTTGTACTTCAACAACATCTATCTTAATTCGTCGTTTCAATCTTATTTGTATTATAAACTGTTAAATATCGCTGATATATCACTACATATTATTTTTATTATTATTTTTTTTATTCTTATTATTATATATTATTATTAAATTTTCGTTGATGTAATTGTTTTGTGTGGTTATTTATTTCAGGTATTAAATTTAATAATTAATTAGTTTTCTCAGTAAAGTTAATTTTATGTTGGATGCATGCTTTAATTCAATAAAAGAT